ATGGAGACCCCTGGCAAAACAGAGAGCTGAACAGGGGGCTGAGCCGTTACTCTGGCAGAAGAAAGATGCCGCTGACTCTCTGGGGAATTTAATGTAACATCACACGGTTCATTTCCCACTAGATCGCCCCTGAAAACATTATTCATTTGGTCACCATCTGGTTCAGAACCCAGAACAGAAATGTCCATGGCAGTCTGAGAGAAAGTGGTGTCGCAGCCCAGTACTAGGTGTGTGTTCCTTTCAGAGGTCTGCCTGTCATTGTCCAAATTCATATTCTCGTTTTCCTTCACAAACATAAAGTCAGAGTCTTTATTCTCAGTCTTTGGTTCTTTTAACTCAGAAACAGAAAAACACAAACTCAGATTGGCTGCCTCACCCTCACCAGAATTACATTGATTAATCTTGAACACACAGGCAGCATCTACCCCAGAATATTGCCCAGAGTCAGTAACAGTCTCTGCACCATCTCTAGCGGAAATCTCGCCATCCCTAGCAAGCAAGTTAACTGTTATGGACAAACCCTGTTCGAAAGGTGGACCCCCAAGGCTCTCAGCACAGTTTATTTCCTCTGTCACAGGAAGACAACGTGACGTTTCTTCAGTCTCCACCTGTGACAGGGTTTCAGTCACCAAAGGCGCTAGTTCGACCACATGAGCTGCATTTATAACTGAACCGTTCCTAGAAACATGATTAATCAGTTCATGGCTAGGTTCCTGGACATCCATTAAGTCGGCACAACTGGTCAAAGAAAACTCATTCACGTTCATTTTGCAGTCATGTGGTGGCCTTGTAACCTGATCAGAGTCTGTGGCTTACACATACAGCAGTTACACTTCCTTCTGATGGGACGGCTGGCACTAGGTTAACGCCAAGAGTCTGAATAAACTCTTCTGTGATTGGTTTGACAGAGCCATTAGCTTTAGCAGTGACCACATTAGTCACAAACAAATCAAAAGTGATGCTGTCAGAGGGGATTGAAGCTTCATTATGCTCTGACTGACAGGAATCATGCGGCTCGGCCTGGTATTTGGCAGTCTCAGGCCTGCATTCCCCAGCTAGCCCCTCACCAGAAGTTGATTTAGACAGAGACTCTGAGTCATCTATGAATGGAAGTGCAGCTAACACAGTGTCTAATAGAGCTGTGGCTGCCAGTGGTGGTGCAGACTGTGAGCTTACTATATCAGTAGTACTCCCAACCAACACCCCATCTTGAAATGATTTAGAAGAATCAAAAGAACATGGTTCCAAATTTACACAAACTGACGATAAACATGACCATTAGAGACAGTATCGGAGGCCCAGATCTCAGCCTCAGCATTCACTGCGCCCTGCGGGGTGCTGGAGCTACATGGTTCAGACATGTGTGCCCCATCTTCTTCCGGGGGGCACAATTCACTCTTAGAGTTCAGAGCATAGACCACATTGCCATTACTGTCCTCTTGACCTGGAACACAAAACTCAGGTGAATTGTGCTTGTTGAGTACAGGAGTGAGAGCATCACTCAGAGATCGCTTTGAATTGTTCTCCTCTGGTTTACACAATTCATAACAAGTAGATGAGTCACAAGATGGATGAGCTAAGGAACAGTCAAGTTGATCACCGGGTACAGACAGGTTATCATTATTAAAGTCACACCGCTCATGACCAGAGGTTATATCACCACCCTTCACACCAAACATGAGTTCGTGATCAATACTTTCATCGTTTAGCAAGAGAATGGGTGGTGTTGAGGAGCACTGGGTCGCTATTGCTCCTCCAGCACATGTAGAAATTGTCTTTATCTCTGGAGCGTCTGCGAACCCTTCATGGCAGTCACATTCCAGCAACTTAGGAAGACTTTGTCACTAACCTCTATTATTAACGGAGTCCGAGAGGAAACGAGAGTTCCACCAACCTCTAGCTGCTGCATGGT